AACAACTCCAAAATATTCACAATGGAAATTGCTATCCACATCCAGAGTAAGAACTATGTAGTCCGAATGCAGATTGAAACATACTGTTTGCTCTCCTTTTCCTTTGTTGTTTTGTTTTATTGCTTCATTCTTGTGGTTCTTCCCATTAGTTCTATTTGTTCTTTCCATCATGACTAATGGGAAAATATGCTTAACATGAATGTATATGTAGAGCCTACATTGGATTATACTCCATCTCAGGGTGGGGGGAAGAAGTGGGAGGAGGAGAAAATTTAAAACTCAAAATCTTATGGAACTGAATGTTGAAAACTAAAAATAAATAAATTAAATATAAAAAAAATTTTTTAAAGTATCCTAAGACTTCATTGTCATTGAATTTTAAGCACCTTTTAAAAGAAATTATAAGATGATTACTGTCATAGGCCTATAATTTCATTATAGTGGGTACAACCCATCTATGCCTTCTTGTAATACATAATTCTTTTCCAGAAATCTTCCATAATGGACTACCAAATACAGTATCATAAATTTTGAATTGGAAAGGCCTTTAGACACCATCTAATCCAACCCTCTTATTTTACACATGAGGGAACCTGAGGCCCTTCTATAACTCTAATTTTCTGGATACTAGTACAACACAGGTTGACATGGCCAAAAAATCCATTCATCTCCAGGTGACCAGTTGACTAGTAGTATGTCTCTCTATAACTTAACTTTTCTCAACTTCAGTTTCCTCAAATAGAAATTATAATGGCTCTTACTTTATAAGGGTTGATATACATATATATATATATATATATATATATATATATACACACACACACACACACATACATAAATACATATATATCATATGTTATATATAAGGATCATATATGTATGATATGTTACACATATAAGAATCAAATGAGATAATGCATATAAAATACTTTGCAAACCTTAGAGTGCTATAAAAATGCTATTATCAGTCTATCCATCCTTAATATCATAATAGCTAGCATTTATATAGTGCTTTATGTTGGAGCTGTTGATGGAAAATGAAGTTACCTAGAAAGATATTATGACAAAAAGAAAATAGTCCTGGTACTCAAAAACCTGGCATTCTATAGGGGAAATAACATGTACATAGGAATTGAAATTGCAGAATATAGGCAATGTAAATACAAGATCCTCTGAGGGATAGTGGGAAGTATTAGCAGCTAAGGGAGTCAGGAAGGTCTTATGTAGGAGGCAGCTCTTATGTTGAAGGAAACTGGGGATTCCTAAGTGAGATTGGAAGAGAGTGCATTCCAAAAATGAGGAACAGCCATGATGTTTCAAGGAGATGGAATATCTTATATAAAGAATAGCAAAGTTGAAGCAAAGACTACACGGGAGAATCATGTGTAATAAACCTGAGGAAATGGGTTTGAACCATATTGTGAAGGGCCAAAAAGAGGAGTTTGTGTTTTATCATAAGGGGCAAGAGGGAGCTCCTGGAACATTTTGAGGAGGTGAGTGATGTGGCCAGAACTATGAATTAGGGAAGGTAGACTGGATGGTCAATTAAGACTTCAGGGCTGTCTCACAGGCTGGGGAAGGTGAGATTACAGTAGGTCTATAAGAGAAGGCCTAATAAGTAAGCAAGTGGTAAGAGAAGACCTAAGGATCACAAAGCTAGTTATGTGTTGAAGGAGAGCTACAACCCCACCCATGGCCATTTCTCAGGTATCGTCTTTCTTGATCTCTCTGAAATATTTGACACTGCCAAACCATCTCTTCCTTTGTACTCTCTCCTACCTGAGAATTCATGGCCTTGTTCTCCTGGTTCTTCTCTTCCCTCTCTGGCATCTCCTTCTGAGACTCTGACCTTAGCCCCAAGCCATTTGGCCATATTTCTGCAAATTTGTCCTTAAGCAGACACTCCTGGCATGTCTCCTTCCCCAGTACATTGCTCTTCCCTGCTGGAATGTAAGTTACAGGAAAAGTTAGAACAAGGAGAACCAGTTGTCAGCATCAAAAAGGGGTCCTAGCAATTTCTTCAGCCTCAGGAAGACCCAGGAGGAAGTGTTGCCCCTATATAAGAGGTCTGTATGTAATAAACTGGTTCGTTTTCCATACCATGTTATTTTAGCTGAGTGTTGGCTAGAGAATGGGATTCATCTAAATGCGAGCTAGAAAAGGGCCTAATTCAAATGGTCTCAGATTTATAGGTGTGGGGCCATGAGCCATTATGTTAAAATTGATAAGCCTCCATAACTTAATCTGGTCTTTCTGTCCTTAATTGACACGTGGATTATATTAATAAATTGGGGGGGGTGAAGATTTACTTGGAATGAGGTAATTATCCTGCAGTCTCTAATAAAAGTTTAGTTATGGGTCTCTAAAGTCTCTCCTAGCTCTAAATGTATGATCCTGTGATCCAAAGAATCTCCCAGAGGTAGCTGTGTAGGATTACCCTTGGCTATTACCAAGCACACCTAAGGCAGTGGGTGTGGGTGAAGCAAGTTGTGTTAACATTCTCCAGGTATTCTTCAGTATGCATTTTGATAGAGCACATCCCTGGGGTGGTGGGGTGAAGGGGCAAGGAAGAAGGGCAGAGACGTGGAAGGAGGAGAGAACAAGAAGGAATAGTTCCTACTATCGTCCTATTCAGTGTGGAAACATTTTTATCTTGCATGTAACAACACAGTTTTATTTCTGGGCTCAGGGGTGCTAGGGTTATTCTTCCTTTTCCACGAAAGGGCTCCCTCAGCTTTGGGCTCACGCTTATGGCTCCAGATTCAATCTTAGGGGATGGTGACCTCTAGGGAAGGATTGGGTTCTTCTACTTTTCTATTCTTCATGAAGCTCTGGGGAGAATTACTTACAGCTTAGGTCTGGCTCAAGTCTAGCAAAAAGGAAGTAGAAAGGTCCTCTGGGTACAATGGAGAGCTGGTATGGGGAAGCTATTTATTTCCTCTACTTGAAAGCAAATGTTAAAACAAAGAACAAAACACAAGATTTAAAAGTGACCTTTGGTAAAGGAGTAACTCATAATTATAATTATATTCTTCTGGGATGCTGATGATTAAAACATCAAAATGTGAAGCATTTCGCAGGACTGCTGAATAGGTATTTCACCCTAATCTCATCCCTGCATGGTTTCCCTCAAGGTCTATGTCTTTTGGCAAGCAAGACCAGGGCTTGGCCTCCTCCGAAATGTTCAGAAAGGATAAAGTCACAGGATTCTTGCTCTAAAGCAAGAAGGAAGCTTCTCATTTTGCAGATGAAGAAATCCCTATCAGAGAGACTGAATGGGTTGCCCAGGATCATACAGCTTCAGTTCATTTGCCTAGGGCCACACAATTAATTAATTTGCATGGGAGTCAGGGCTCAAACTATCTTGCTTAGGATATTTAACAGTCATCTATCTGGCTGTTGGTGGTGTTTCTAACTGTCAGCCAAAGGAAAAATACCATGCCCAGATATCAAAGAAATAATGGAATTAAGAATAAACTTAGTTATTTTTGTTATGTCTAAGTAATGTTGGCTTATGCATAGAAATGTATTTGATAGTCACTCTGGAAAACACAGAAAGCTTTTCAGGACAGACAAAAAAAATTTCCTCTTCTATATTCTCAATCATGATATTTATTGGAGGTTTTAACTAGGTATGGCAAGAAGGATCTGATCCTTTCAGTTGTCTTTATAACTGATAACAATTGCCCCAATCTAATTAGTCAGGTGGTGATTAAAAATTATTATGACCACCAAAATTATTGAATCAACTTTGCAACATGATCTCTTCCTATCTTAAAGATGACATGAACCCAGCTGTACCTATGTTTGAATGTGCAGAACCTAAGATAAAGAATTTATTTTTCATTTTGCAGTTGTGGTAAGCACCTATGTGCCCACTATGTGCCAATCTAGCCCCAGGAGATATGGAGACCAAAATGAAACAACCCCTCCAAATGAAACTCCCTCAAGGAGATTATATTCTGTCAGTGAAGACTGCATACACACACAGACCCATGCATGCATACACATATACATAACAAATATGAGGTAGTGGAGGGACCACAGCTGGGGAGATAAGGACAAGCTTCATGTTGAAACTGTGGCTTGAGTTTTGAAGTAAAGGAGGAATTCTGAGAGGAGAGGGGAGAAGGGGCTATATTCCATGCATTAGGGAGAGCCTAAAGTAAAAAACCCAAATCTGGGAAAGCAGAGTGTCCTGTGTGAGGAAAATCAAGGTCAGCTCAGCTGGATCTGAGAATGCATAAAGTAGAATTATAAATAATAAGCCTGGGGGAAAAGCAGGTTGTAGCCAGGATGTGAAGGGCTTTTAATGCCAAACCAAAGAGTTTATGCTAGAGGTAATTGAGAGTCACTAGAATTTCTTTAGCGGGGAGGCTAGAAATAGAGCACTGGGCTTGGAATCAGGAAGACTCATCTTCCTGAGTTCAACTCTGGCCTCGGACACGTACTAGTTGTGTGACCCTATGCAAGTCACTTAACCCTGTTTGCTTCAGTTTTCTCATCTGTAAAATGAGCTGGAGAAGGAAATGGCAAACCACTCCAGGATCTTTTCCAAGAAAACCCTAAATGAGGTCACAAAGAGTCAGACACAACTGAAAATGATTGATCTGGGAAGCAAATGATCATATGCTGTGCTTTAGGAACTTCACTTTGGGATGTATTGGAGAGAGGAGAGAGGAGGTAGGGAGCCTAATTAGGAAGCTACTGAAATAGTGCAGGCAAGCATGATGAGGGCTGAGTTGCAGGTGGTGGCTATGAAAACGGAGAGTAAAGAATGGATAAGAACCACTGTGGAAGCAGGAAACGTAAGATTTGGTAATTGTTTGGATGTGGAAGGTGAAGGAGAAGGAGAAGTAAAGGATGGCTTCAAGGGTGTATGCCTAAGTGAATGGAAGGAGGGTGGAGTTCTTGATAGAAGGAAAGAAGTTGGGAAGAGAGATGGGTTTGGGAATGGGGTGGGGAAATCAGTACAGATAATGAAATAATAGGATCAGAGATTTATTTAGGAATATAGGTTTAATGCTGGAAGGAATTTTAGGGCCATCTGGTCCAACCCTCCAATTCACTCCCTCCTTTACCACATGGATGAGAAAACTTCCCAGACAGGTTCATAAGATGAAATATTTAAAGCTGAAATGCACTACAGAGGACATTTAATCCAACTCCTTAATTTTACGTGGGATGGAACGGAAGCCCAGACAGGATAAGAGATTTGCCTCAACTTAAAGGCAGATCCAGGATTTGAACCCAAATTCTCTGACTCAAAATCCAGGGTTCTTTGTACTATACAATACATACTTTTCCCAGAGTCTCACAGGTAATAGGGTAATTTCGATGCCTGATCTAAACTTGTGAATCTCTCCTCAAACAGTTGTTTCACCCTGTGGGTTTTCCCTTCAACAGTACTATGAAATGAACTTTTTCTTTGATCGATTCCATTCATCTCTTCATATTTGGAATTTGATTGCAGTGCCACAAAAGCAAAAGGGGCCCTAAAAGGGAAAGAAAAGGAAAATGGTGGGAAGCAACAAGCATTGAGTACTTGGGAAAGTAGATATCCCAACCATGGCCCATGGTTCATACCTTTGAGGAGAAGATGTATGTCAGGCTTGGGGATGAGTACTTCAGGAGGGAGTAGAGACCTGGAACCCTGATAAGAGCCTAAGAAAGCAGAGAATTTTAGAAGTGTTATTTCTCAAGGCCATGCTAATGTACTCTGCACAGTGAACGAAACATTGTAGAGGGCTTGTTATCTAGGGAGTAGTGACAGATGACATAGTTCCACGATAGTTCATTATTTTCCGTAGCATTTGAAGATTCTGAAGGTCTTTTTAAAATCCTGGTTGGTAGAGAAAAAACTAATAAAGAAAGCAAGGATTTCTTTTTCTTTTTCTTTTTTTAAATACATTACAGGAGTCTAAATTAGATTTAACTAGTATGGTGAGCATGACTAAAGAAATTCATCTTTTTGAGAAGGCCAAAGTGAAATATTTTGGGAAGTCTTTCAGGCTAACAACTTGAAATGGCAAGGAGAAAGAGAGGGAGAGAGAAAAAGAGAGGGGTGGAAGGAAGGGAAGGAGACACAAGCATCAGAAATATGGCTGAGCTCTCCTTGGGCTGATTATCAGGACTTCGGGGAATGCTTGAAGATTGATTGAGTTGGAAAGGTGCTTGGTAACTTGTCAAACTGACCTTTGTTTGAAAAATGCCTTTTCAAGAGTACTAGAGACAAAACCACTTGATAAAAGGATGGACTAATTTGAAAGTAGTTAGAAGAATGAATCATCACCTAAAGCAACAACAACAATAAAAATAACTGAAAAATTATGGTAATCAATAAGCATTTGTTAAGATCTGACTTGGTGCCACTGAATGCTGGGGAAACCAAAAAAAGGCAACCCTCCCCCAAAAGAAAACCCCAAACCAGTGCCTGCCCCTAAGGAACTTCCTTTCTAATGATGGAGACAACATACATATAACTGTATCTATACAAGACATAAACAGTGAAAGTGGAAAGTAATCTAGGGAGAAAGGCACTAGGAACTGGCAGGAAAAGCCTCTTAAAGATGGTAAAGAACATGATCTGACAGGGAGCCAAGGAAATCAACGCTTAAGGCCTAACAGGGATTTACATATGCAATCTCATTTGTTCCTTTAGATAACCAGGTCAAGTAAATACCACAGATATTTTCTGATGCTTGTGATCCATATTTAAGACCCTGGCTTAATGAAAGAACCAGAAACGTGTTCGAGGTGCAGGAACCATTTAGTAATGTTATGGGGGTGTGACTGTGTATGACGTTCTGAACCTAAAATATTTCAGCCAATTTTCTGCCTTCTTTTCATTTTGACTCTCTCTCCTGCCTCAGGACTCTTCGGGGAGGGGGACCTTTCTGGGGATACAGTGATATGAGAAGGCAAAAGTAAAACGTGGCAGAAAGACTGATGTTACTACTGAGTGGAAATAAGAACATTTGTTCACCTCTTCGCCTGGGGCAATGGCAACCTCAGGAGGCAAAACACCAACACAGCTCTTAGATTTTACTGATTTAGTTAATCAAGAAGTTGTTTCAGTGAAAGGGCTGGCTTGCTCATTGAGAAAGCTAGTCTGATTGGTCATTTCACAAAATCCACAAGTCCGCTGAGTCTAGATGGTTCCATGGCAGAAATAAATTTTATATGTGGCAGGCATGGGGATTCATGCCAAAAGGATTTAGGCAATTACAAACATAATCAAACCTGTCCCTTCTCAGCTGGATACAACTGACTGGAATAGAACCAATGCACACAGGCATTACGGAATGGCGGGGAGGGGGGGGGCCGGCAGAGCAGAGTCAAAGGGAAGAAAGAAACTTCCAGGTTGGAGCACCAGAGAGAAAACTCTTGTCTTTATTTGTATTCATTGCCTTGACATTTATTCTATATATACTATGGGGCTGCTACTTTTCCGGTGATATGTTCCTTGACAGTGGGGATTCCCCCCCCCCAATTCCTTGCATGTGTATCCCCAGAGGCTATCCCCGTGCCTAGCATGCAGTGGTCATGTAACACCTTAGAGCAGATGCAGATGCTGCTAGGCAAATATCAGGAGGCTTAACATAGCCTGAGGAAAGGAGTCCTCACAAACTTCAAGTGTATTGCTGTGACAGATGACTCAGGAAGAATAAGAAAGCCATGACAGGCCACCGGAATTGATCCCTGAGTACCCAGGAGACTGATTCTAAGGAAGGAGTTGGTGGGGAGTTACAGACTCTGTATTTGCATGGGAGACACACTTTATTCATGTTGTTAGGTTTTCTCTAAGTGTGGTACTGTTGATTCTGTGGGTACTGGGATTGAACTTTTGATGTAGAGAGAAAACTGAGCTCACCAGATGAGAGGGTGGTAACTACTGATTTGCTAAGAGGGCTCAGATGTGAACCGCTCCTCTGTTTTTCACATGCTGAAAATAAAACTCTTCTGTGTTTATTGCTTTGGAAAGCTGATGCCTTCATGGGATTAAGAAACCCTTAGAGAGACATAAACCTGATTCTGATGACCTCAGGGGAGACTTTTGAGAAGAAGCAATGAGCCATAGATTATCATTAATCTGAGACACCCCCACCCCCAAATGTTAAACCTGAAGTCAGAAGAAAGGTTATGAGGGATTTATTGACAACACAGGTTATATAGTATATAAGGTATTGTTAGCTGGTAAATGATACAGACTATGTTAACCTTTAAAAACAAAAACAACTGATCATTTCAAAAAGGTAGTGTTTCCCTCTCCTTACTTCCTGACCCTAATCAAGGAAATGAGGAGGCAGCTAGACTGTGTAAGGTACATAGAATGGATCAGGAATGAAGAGAATGAATACTTTTTGCAAAGAAAGACAGTATACTCAGAACAGTCACTTTGCCCACATTTTTTGATTGATGGAATGGTCCAGGGTAGAGACATATGTGAAGCTTGATCTGAGGGTTTTTTTTAAGGGCCAGTTTTCATGGATACTTGTTTTTAGTGGGCCCAAGAGAACATCCATTTTAACAATGAATTATATTAACTTAAAATCAATGATATTTCATTGCTTAAGTATCTGGTATTTTTGTGTGGTTATTCACCCATGAAGACTGTAACCTCTTGGTACTTTTATACATAATCACCTTGAGTTGCTACAGTTGAAAGACATCCCAGGAAGTGGCACTGAAAATGAGAATGTGAATAGGCTAATAGATTGGGATTTATTCTGGTGGCCGGCTCCAAATTCACCTGAGCAACCTCAGCCCCCAAGCAATGTGGTGTAAAAGCTGGGTTCAGAGCCACAGTTCATCACAAACCAATCTGTCTGCCTAAAGGGGGCCTTGCCTACCTGCCAATTCAAGACCTTCAATTCTGGCCTCTGGTGACATGAGCTGCTCAGCTATGATAGACAAATAGCAGCAGGTGACCGACTTGACTTCTCCTAAGTATCAGAAGGAGGAATGGAACAGGGATTGGAGCTCTGGCAACTAGCCATGGGTTGATCCATTATGAACTACCAGCTGAGTGAGGCTAGTTACTTCTATGTTGAGATCAGGTGGAAGTTACCCAAAATTTATGGTTCTTCTTTGGATAGATTGAGATTGGCTAGTGAACAGGCAGCTAGGTGGTCCGGTAGATAGAGCACTGGGCCTGAAATTAGGAAGCCTTGAGTTCAAATGTGACCTCAGACCATTATTAGTTGTGTGGCCCTGGGCAAGTTACTTAGCCTCTGTTTGCCTCAGTTTCCTCATCTGTAAAGTAGGGATCATAATAGCACCTGCCTCCCAAGGTTCTTGTGAGGATCTGATGAAAAATAATACTTGCAAAGCACTTAGCATAGTGCTAAGCACATAATAAGTGCTATATAAATGTTAGCTATTATTAAAATAATCCTTCAAGCTGGAGAGCTTGAAGACCCCCAAGTCTTTTGACACAACTCTTTGGCTTTATAAACAAGTCTTTTTGAATACAAATTAATATTTACATAGAGTACAAATTACAGATTAGCAATAGAAGCTCAAAACAAAAATGCTAAGACCACAGGAGTTGTTTATGCTCAGTATCTCCACTTTCTCACCATCAATTTGTCCTTAAACCTCTTGACATCACATTTTCCTATTTTCTCAGAAGTTACCAAGAACCTGCCAAATGCCAAATCCAATGGTCTTTTCTCAAGCCTTGGCCTCGACCTTTGCAGTATTTGACACTATTTATTACCTCTTTATTTTGAAAAACAGTAAAATACAATGGAAAGAGTTTCATTTCTGAGGTCAGAGGACATATATTAGAAACCTAACTCTGCAGTTTAAACTTATGTGACCAGGGACAAATCATTCCATTTTTCTGGCCCATGGTTTCTTCATTTATAAAATAACTTGCTGATTTCTCAGGTCATTTCCTGTTCTCAATCCTATGATCCAGCTCCTTTTAAACTTAGCTTGACTCCTCTTGTCCATCAGCTTTGGGGGAGGGAGGAATCAAATCTCCCGTTTTCTTTTCTCAGTGTCAAATCTTTCCAGGGTCCTGTGCAGCTCAGATAAGTAAGGCCAGTTTGGGATCCACAGCCTCCATGGCTACTGCCTCAGCTCCTAGCTCTTCAGTACTTCAGATGTACAAATCATTTCTGTGACTTACTTCATTAGCGGCCTATTTCTGAAGTGACTTCCTGAGGGATTTGGGCCCTTTAGATCAAAGCTCCTCTTTCCTCACTTTTATGAGATGGAAAAGACAGTGTGAGAGAAAGCTACTTATTTCCCAGTTATGTGACCCTGAGCTAGTTATTTAATTTCTCTCAGCCTTAATTTTCTCATCTGTAAAATGGTGACAATAGTATCAACTCTCTCACAGGTCACTGTGAGAATCAAATGAGAAAATATAACTGTAAAGCACTTTGCAAACTTCGAGGTGCTATATAAATTATTATTACAAAGAGCATTTCTGGTTCAGAGAACTGCCCCCTCCCCAGGATTCTCTCCAATCATAGGTTTTCTCATCTTTTTTTTCCCTTCCTTTCTGCTATTTGCAAAGAAAGAAAAATAACCTACCTTTCTTTTTCTTTGTAGTGGAGCAATCTGAATTAATTTTAAAACAAGGCTTAATTAGTTAACTGGCAGGGTCTCAGTAACAGACTAGTCTCTTAGAGAGCATATATCTATTGCTT